ACAACGAGCAGATTAAGCGATGCGTGGGTAGAATAACTGCGCACACATCTGCCACTCGGAATATGCTATGCCATCAGAACCGGGCTCATCTAGCTAAATAGCCCTTCCCTAACTTTTGAACCACTCACTTCCTCTATATCGCTCACACGAAATGAAGATTCTAGCTGATCAAAGGAATCGTCTGCATTGGCTATGCTGCCAATGAATGCACCACCCCCCCCCGACCTGCAGGGTCACCTCGCGAAGATCCTAGGCGGCGTGCACGATGCAACGCAAGCTGCCACCACAAGCGAAGTGCTAGGTCTTTTGCTTCGCAATTGGATACTGGTAAGAACAGAATCTATGACAAATGCCCCGCAAACAGCAAGATGTACTGAGCTCCACAATGAAGGCCCGCAACTTCGTGTGAGAAGCCTTCGGTAACACGATGCGGGCAAGCTCTGAGCAAACCATCCCAAGTCTGTTTCGTTTATGTATTTTCAAATAAATATACAGATGTAAATGCAAGCGTTAGCGACAGAGTGCTGGTTATGTTCCTTGATTCCCGTGGTAACAGCAGTATTTCTTTATTTCGTAGGCTGTTCACCCATTGCAGCAAGCAATGCATTCCGGGCAGTGGATCCTCCTACGCGCCTGAGAATGTCCGAACGTAGAAATACTCCACTGCGCAATTCANATTCCGGGCAGTGGATCCTCCTACGCGCCTGAGAATGTCCGAACGTAGAAATACTCCACTGCGCAATTCAGCCAAATGAAGGGGCTCCCCGTTGCACAAGCGTTCTCCCAAATCTACACCGACAGCGCCCCTTAGTAACCTTGCGGTAAGGGACACCAAACAGATCAGTATGCGCTGCAGGTGTACAAACCCATCGGGAAGGCAGCCTGTCCTGGCTTGCAGCACTAGTGGCTGCAACTCCTCTTGCACGGCAACTTCACCAGAGTACCCAAGCCCCCATTCGATGCATGTAGCAAGACTGTAGTTCCCTGGGGTTCTGCAGTGCACCTCCAGGGCTACTGGAACGCTAGGCAGTACTAACGCGAATTAGCAGATCTGACAAATAACTCAGAGAGTTCGATAGCAATCATGCTATATACCCACGAGACCTAGATAATTGGGAAGGGTTTCGCTTGAGAGAATATCACGAGCAGTGGAGGTCATAATGCAGAGCGGACACATGGGGNATTGGGAAGGGTTTCGCTTGAGAGAATATCACGAGCAGTGGAGGTCATAATGCAGAGCGGACACATGGGGGCCGGAACCTTATTATCGACTAAGGAAAATAATCATACATGTCAAAACATCCCGAAAATTATGAGAAACAGAGTTCCGATGAGAAGGATGGCGCTATTAAGCGTTAGATACACTGGGGTGCTCCCGGCGGTAGTCCCTGCCCCCAATATGCCAGCGGATCTAGTTGTAGTCTGCACACCCTTTACGGGTTGTTCTCGCTGATGGATGCTGTGCGGTAGTCCGCTCTAACGAGATGCCGCTAAGCTGGTTCTTGCGCAACAAACATATTCTATTTTTAATACCCTATGTGCTAATGAGGCATTCTATCGAATGACACTAGTATAACTATCTTGTTGTGGTGCTGGAGCACTACAGAGGCTGTAAACAATTGTTACATGGCCCTCAGGACCCCACTCATACGCAAGTAGGAATACAGTCATCAACCCCGGAGAGCCCATCTAACATGCGCCTCACATCGCTTCCCAAACTACGCTCGACCTCATGCGTCGTGCCATCCAGAACCAGATGGATGCACCGAGGGTGGGAAGGGAAACAGCCAGAGAGGCTGCCACGCCGGACACAACAGGCGAACGAAGAAGTTGAAATGCAGCAGGTAGTGTCTGCAGACGCTTCATGCTTTCTGTGCTGCTGCTAAAAACCGTACACGGCTGCGACAGGCCCTGCACTATAGCGTGGGAAAGTTGGCGGCAGCAGCGGCTAACTGCAGGAAGAGGTGGTGGGGGCAGACGACAACGGAAGGGAAATAATTAGTGCCAGTGAGCACTTAGCTATAGGGCTATGGGCCGTTGCTTACCCGTGATAAAGCAATATTTTACAAAAGCTCTAAACGGGCCAAAGCTAAGCTTTGCTGCTCACGTCGACGCTTCTGGTCGCTGCCACTGTAGCAAGGGCAGCACCTAGATACCCCCGCGTAATGGCTTGACGCGAGCAAGTACAGCACAATTATGCAGTTGGTGACTTCCGTTTGGTCGTCTGCCGAGGTTTAGTTTGCGGTGGTAATGTTGTGATCGATGTTGAGCAACATCATAAATTTGCTCCAACAGCGCGAACCAGAGTCGGATCCTTGTCAGTAATAAAGTCATTTCAAGGGGAATTTATCACGACTCAAGGCATGGTTAGTGAGAAATTGGGTCAGAAACTGCGCGTCCACGCTGCCCGACGCATACTCAGTAACAGTGAACCAGAATCACAGGAGTAAGTGATGCTCTGTTCTCGTCTATAGAAATGCCCACGAAGTAGCAGTGTCGTGCAATGGGTGCATGAAGCCATGCGTGTACGCATGTTGGCTATTAGGCAAAAGCTAATTAATAACCCTAACTCCCGTGTCCCCAGACATCCGGGGCCTTCAGATCAGGGCCTGGGGTTGAGGGGGAGGAGGTAGCCCAACTGGAGTTGCAGTGCATCTCGCCGCCACTGGCTACGCAAGCTAACATCACATGTGAGCACAAGGAAGCTTCAACGAAGCCTGCGTTACTGCATGTTTTACCTCTGTACACGCTTGTCTAGCGTGCGTATTTGCTTACAGGCAACCCGCCAAGGCCAAGTGAATGCTCGTATGCTAACTGCAGGCAGATCACGCTACACACCCTGCACGCAAGTGGAGATATAGAGAACAACTTCATACGGGCCTAGATACAACTGCAGTGGTACCCCAGGGCTGCAAATAGGCTTTCGAGTTGGTCACCGTACAAATATGTGCAGATGAGAATGATGCAGGATATCCCCGAGTGGCAAAACTTTCGGTGGTGGCGCTTAGGCGCCTTCCCCTACAGTGGTGCTGTCTTTGCGTCGCACGGATTGTTGGTGGGAAGATGCAGTTTGAGATCCCAAGAGCCGCTTTTTGCACCCTTCTCCTTTAACCTCTTTGTGTTTTAGGCACGGGAAGGTTCGAACATATATAGCGTTTGGGGCCTCTTCATTCGTTGCATGCGACTGCTCGAGTAGAAGCTGGCTAGCAACGGATTGCTTTGTGTTGTGGGGATCTGGGTCTGGTTCACTTGATCAGGTTTCAATTGCTCATATCTCTCAGGTCTGCAATCCTATTGAATTTCTCACTCAGCTGGTTAGGGCCTTTAAAACGTGCCAACGCGGGGGGCCCGCGCACTTAACGCTCGCAACTACCCGAGAAACAGCTGTTGCAGAGATCGCTGTGCTAGCATTTTCACTCATTCTGCCCAACCAATCGTGCGCAGAAATTTCAACGAAATGTTTTAGTCATTTAAACACTTACACACTGAATTTGCATGCGGGGGGTTTCAGGGCAAACGGACTGAGGGAACCTTATGGGGGGAGACAGGAGGTCCTCAAGGTCACTCAGGAGCTCCTCTTGCTGAATGAGCTCTACAGGCTGTATGGGTGGCCAATATTTCAGATATTTTGAAGCAAATCAGCTGGTTGTACTACAGTTTAACTCTCCAAAACGTGCTTTCCGGTCAGCGAGAGGCCAACTCGCTCTCGAACCAGCATCGTCAAGCGTTCTTACGGGTCCAGACTAAATGGCCGCTGATGAGGTGCGGGGGGGCTCCTCTCCCCCCGGCGTTTCTCCGAATACCAGTGAAGGGGTTGCTGAAATAACCGATGGAGACAGTTCTGCAGCTGCTCTCCAGAAAGTGGATACCGCGTCTGGGGATAATTCCGAGCCACCGCCAGCCTCGCCAGGTCTGGGACAAGCTTCAGCAGATCCCGCAGCAACACCCGCCAGCGGTGGCGTAGGGCAGGATGCACAAGAAGAACACGCCAGTGACGCAAATGCGGGCAATGATGAGGAAAGTGATGCAAAGCCTGAGGGCCATGAAGCTGATCCTGGAAAATACGCTTCTGGGTATGTCAAAGAAAATTAGGGCTCACCGGCTCAGCACCTGCACTTGCTTTCCCTGACAATCGCACTGTTGCTCCATCGTTCCTGCGGCGGCTATCTCGTGTGAGCGATCATCTACGAACAACTTGCACAACAAATTACTTGTCCTCATGTTAAGAGGCATTATGCAAAGCCATAAAATGGGATATTTTGCTAGCCTGCTCGAGTTTATCCTTTAATTCAGCGACATACGGATACATCTGTCAAGCGGTATTGACGGGATTATGGGAGTGTTGGTGCGGAAGCAAAACCTGAAGCGAATGGGTCTACTTGAGGATGAAGGCTCAGAAAGCGTTCTGCGCCCATTCAAAAGCTTTTCGAAGAAGGCCATATTACAGGAGATAGGAAAGAGGGGGAAGGATTCGGACTGGACTGAGCACAAGGCTATTCTCAAAGTACAACCCTCATCTGCTCTACCGTGAACCGGGGTCGACAAATTTGCATCACCTTAAATACAATATTATCCGTGCTCCTTTCATCAAGCAAAAATATACGGACGGATTTGTTGAGGTGATGCAGTGCTTGGTGACTCCGCTACGCATCTGCAGGTCTATCCGTTAGAGGAGGTGCTGCTGGTGCGAGACGATGCTGGAAGCTATGGGGCAAATNGCATCTGCAGGTCTATCCGTTAGAGGAGGTGCTGCTGGTGCGAGACGATGCTGGAAGCTATGGGGCAAATTATCTGATGCCCTTCACGGAAATAGCCTTCAAGGCCGTCAACGAAGTAAGTCAACCACGCCAAAAGGCGTGCATAAGGGGAATGAGCGAGATCTCTGCTCTGTCCGTTTGGGACAATCAGCGCGTTTACGAGGCTGTTCGCCGTGTTAGCCAGTACTTCCGCTGCATTGAGGCACATCCTGTACCCCATTCCGTTATTCAGGCGATTATGACAGCCAACGCTGACGCCATTACAGCGCGAGGAGAGGCGGAGTCGAAAAGGCTAAAGGCTTTGGAAATGGAAGCCAAAAAACGGTTGAGAGACGAGAATGCTGATGTCCCTGTATCCCCTCGCGAGTGGAAGTCGGATACATTGGAACAGACAGCAGCTGAAATCGAAGGAATGGCAATAAGGCCAAAACGTCCACTAATAAAACAGACATTTGTCAAGAAGGCAGAAACCCTGGGAGCCTCTGCTNAATAAGGCCAAAACGTCCACTAATAAAACAGACATTTGTCAAGAAGGCAGAAACCCTGGGAGCCTCTGCTTCCTACCAGCCTTTCGCAGATCGTGTGCTGTCCCTCAAGACACGCAAAGTCGGTCGGCACAGTCCCGTCGTTAGCATAACCCTTGCTCCCTCATACATCCCTTCTAGGTTGCACTCTACCATGGCTCCCTCAGGATGCCAGAGCTTTGCAGCAGTTTCAATGAGACTCTAAACGGTGCTGATTTGGAGCGCGTGCCGACCGTGCTGATACTCAGGATTCTCTCTGCGTCGATGTGAGACAAGAACTTGACTTTGGCGTCCAGGCAGTCCCCGAAATGAAAGATGCATGGTCCCAGGCGGCAGGAGAAGCAACGAAGAACGTAGAGATACAGCACGACTCAAGTACTCTAACGGTACATAAAGCCTTTCACAGAAGCACGCTACCCTTCTATCGCAACCTCTTCCATGGTGAATGAATAGGAACTCAATTTGAAGCAGACTGAAGAGTCAAATGCCCTGTTAGCTATGACATGCTCAACTTCCGCCTGTATCTAAGCCTCTATATAAGCCTGCAGTAGCAACGTGAAAGGTGCGCAACATCTAACAGTTGTATGTCACTGCCTCAGAAGGGAGTAGGACTCTCAAATGCGGCATCCCGCAAGGGCTTTCAGGCTTTCTTCTCTAAAGTGGCTGACATGTAAGCTTCTGATGATAAATAACTTGCAAACGTCAGGCTAGCTGCTTTACTGTGGCTCTTACTGCGTCTTGCGGCAATTTTGCCAGCTATTACTGGTTTGATCCTTTTTTGTAGGGTAGAGGAAGCTTTGCAGCATAACGAAACCGTAGACATCCTTAAGAACGACATGCTGCACATGGAAGGTGCTGCTGGCACAGCACTGCAGCTGGAAACCGAAGAGGGTCTGAAAGAGGCATTCACATTCACTGATCTCTCCCACTCAAAAAACAAGCTCATTTCGTACATCCGATGGATTCCTGAGTACGGCAGCAGCGGTTTCTGCTTGCACTCCCTCCCACCTACCCCCGCCAGTAATGAAATTTAATCGTTGCGGTCAAAAACACGATTCACTAACTAGCTGAATGTTTCGTGTTCTAAGAAATGAACACTTTATGCGAATAGGTCAGAAAAACTGATAGCATGCGCCGCAATGGACACTGCATCCTTCGATGAACGCGTGGATGCTCCTTCTCGTTCGTCAAAGTCTGTTATCCTCATTTGGTCTCTTGAAAATCCGCTTGTTCCCCAGCAACTGTTTGTTGCTCCTTCTGTAAGACACCAGCAAATACTTGTAGCCACCCTGAGGCATTCTCTACAGCTTAAATGGCAAGTGTTCGGTGCCCACGACATTTTACATATCCTGTAGAGTAGTACGTGGCAATACACCCACTGTTGGAACCAGCTTTCACTTCCCACGCCGAGTAATGATCATAGGTTCGCACTAGACGC